TGTCAGTATTGGGTTGCTGTAATTTACCATTTACTTTAATCACAGGGCATGGTAGCACTAAGAGTCGGCCTATGGGATCTCCTGGATTCCAGATATATTCTTCTTTACCTCCATTATGTAACACCAGTCCAATTTCTCCTTGGTAATCAAGATCAATCACACCACTTAGTACCGTGACACCCTTCCTGACCTGTTGATCCAAAGGCATGAGAAGCCCAAAGTGGCCAGGGGGGCATTCTCAGCTGCCAGTTCAGAGGAATCCGTGCTGTGTTTCCAGGTGGGAGAGTTCCTTCCTTCGGGACCAGGACCTCCAGGCCTGAGGAACACAAGGTTGCTGGGACAGGAAGCAAATGCTGCAAGTAGATCACTAGGAGTAATAGTGAGGTGCCACTCCAGCTTCCACTCCTTGGCTCCTGGACCCATGAATTCTGGCTATTGGAGACACAGCACCATATATTGGCCGCTGGTTTAGAGCATATACAGCTTCCTGGAGAACACTGCCCCAGCCCCGCAAGTTGCCGCCACCTAGTTGGCGCCGTAATTGTGCCTTTGGGAGCCCATTCCATCGTTCTATTAAGCCAGCAGCTTCAGGATGATGAGGAACATAATAGGACCAGTGGATTCCATGGGAATGGGCCCATCGACGCACTGCATTTGCTGTGAAGTGAGTTCCTTGATCTGAAGCAATGCTATGTGGGATGCTATGCTGGTGAATGAGGCATTCTGTAAGTCCATGAATAGTAGTTTTAGTAGAAGCATCACGTGCAGGGAAGGCAAATCCATATCCAGAGTAAGTGTTTATTCCAGTAAGAACAAAACGCTGTCCCCTCCATGACGGAAGTGGTCCTATGTAATCAACCTGCCACCAAGTTGTTGGTTCATCTCCCCGAGGAATGGTCCCATATCTTGGACTTAATGTTGGTTTCTGCTGCTGGCAAATGGGGCACTCAGCAGTGGTAGTGGCCAAGTCAGCCTTGGTGAGTGGAAGTCCATGTTGCTGCGCCCATGCATAAACTCCATTCATGCCACCATGTCCACTTTGTTCATGTGCCCATTGGGCGATAACAGGAGTGGCAGAGGAAAGAGGAGGACCAGTCTCCACAGTGCGTGTCATCTTATCCACTTGATTATTAAAGTCCTCCTCGTCACAGGTAATCCTTTGGTGAGCGTTCACGTGA